AACAGGTTGAGTGACAGTCATTTCACGACGAGTAAAGCATGTTTACAATGTAATCTACACGAAACCTTATTACACTTCGTTATGTGAAGTCTTGAACGCGACTCACATTCTGCAGGGAGTTATGATGTAGCGAGTATTCACAGATATCATTTGTCACTTTGATTATTTGGAATTGAGTTTTCATTTCGTAAATACTTCTGAATGAAGTGTTTGCAAAATTGAATACCGAATGCATTTTGAGGGGGATCTAAACGGGGATTTGAGGGTTTTCGAAAATCAGTCTACAGGAAATGCAGATCGAATGTTCGATACCTGAATTAGCATAATTTGATGCCTTTTGGAAGATAGCCGATTCTGATCCACTTCTTATCCTCAATAATAAGAAGACTAATTCTCACTGTTGAAATCGATGGTGAAATGGAGAGAATCAGGTGTGTTCTCATGAATATGGATGTCCTTCGAGATTCAACGAGGAAAACACGAAATTAATGCGAAAACCTGAAGGAATGTAAACGGTGCGAAAAAACTGATGGACGTTGAGCTGAGAGGTCATGCGGCAGCTAATAATCTGAACAACAGCGTATCAATTTCACCTAGAAAGGCCTTGTTTTCAAATGGGCTCCGGGTCAATGTCTACAGCTGACAAATAATCAGTGGATGTGTGAAGAATGAACAGCCATCAATTCAATGTGTGTTCCTTTCGAGGTAGTTATATTGGCAGCACGATGTGTACACTTTCCAAACACATCTGTGAACATTAGCTGGCTTCGTTTGTAGAACGATAATGCAATTCAGATAAGATAAGATAAAATAATAGCTTTATTCCAAATCAGTACTTGTGATACAGAATGGAATTCTCAGCATTTTTACTACAATATTGCTTCCAGTTAGTACATTACCAATAAATAAAGTTCTACATAGATTAAAGTTATCTCAATCAGTTTTGACAACAACATATTAGCATGTCGGTAGCAAAGCCAAAATTTAAACAGAGTGTTTGAAGGTGTTAGAAAAGTAGATACTACTAGCATATTTACTGGCGTAAGCGATAGCAAAATAGTCGAGATATACAGAGTGTAAAAGAACGAACAAGAGTGTTTTAAGTAGAGTTTGTAAGGAAGAGAGAAACAAAACGGCACATAACAAAAATAAACACAGAAGGAGAAAAAAATGGTAGAGAGAAAACGTTGTACCTGTAAATGATGTGAGTTGGAAAGACGGGATCCATTTGTTCTACTGACTATTTAATAAGTTAAAGGTTTCACGCCTAATGCTTTCTTTATCGCACAGAACACGAGCTAGGTAGGGTATGGATGATACTACCTGGTACTACGTGAAATGTCAAGCACTTGGCGAACTCAAGTCACGTAACTCCGTCAGAGTCGTCTTTCAATATTATTTACAATGTGAGGTCAAATAGTACAAAGGCTGTTAGGTTTCGACATTTGCGTTGGCCATTCGCCAGTAAAACAGCAAACTCTGTGTGCAGAAAACGTTTGTCAAGTATCTTAATCGACCGTGGTCTTACCTCTTCATTATTTCTTAAAATAATTTCCTTGCTTTTACTATATTATTAGATTCACCATTGTCACTCTAACATTTTCATTTTGCACGTTTTCTGATCGTCTCCACACCTGTTGAATGGAAACTCATCTACCTTTCTGCTAACTGAATAACAATTTTAACCTTTTCAAATTTCCAACTCTCTCTACCTTGGCACTGTTCAGTATCACGCAATTAATCGTTTGTTTTTTAGTTTTGAAGTCATTTCTAAGTACATTTATCAATTACGTCACCCATATTACACTATAATGGACTACTGTACATTCTCGGTAAATGCAATTAGGACTCTGCATCAGCAGAAGATTGCTTCGTCGATAAGGAAAACTTTCCTCACTGAATTGTCATATATTATCCACATAAATGAACACTGCGCTTACTCTTCAGTTTCATCCACATCCAGCAGGAATTGTGGAATAAGACCGACTTGTTCTATAGGAGAGAATAGTCATTCTAGCGTGAAACCAAGAATACTAAAGTCATGCTGAACTTACGCCAACCAACCCCCTCCCCCACACACACCACACTCACACACTCACTCTTTTGACCAACCACCAACAACTAATCAACACACAGGGCCTAATTTAACAAATGGAAAACAAGATAAGCACTACTATTCTTATCAACCGACGTATGCATTACAACACGACAACTCACCATCAGCAAGAGTATAAAAGCTGTAAAGTAGAACCAGAGAAAACAAAGGAAGCAGAGAATATGTTCAACTCAATGTACCGTTACATATCTGTGATAACGCTGCTGGTGTTTGCCACCATGAACGAGAGTAAGCCTATATTAAAATGATTGTGCATTTGTGACTCTTTATTTTCAAATAAACCTTTTTTGCATTATCATCAATGATATTGTTCTATCCTATCGGTGTTATCCAAGACTATTCAATGATCATACTTCTGAAAGGAAACTGATTGTGTTTCCAACACCACTCGCAGTGTCACCTGAAGTCATCACTCTCTGTCAATGACGAATAATAATTCTATGTCGACGATCCCTCCATTTCTGAAATAGGAAGTGAGTGGAGTAAAGATTGTATTCTCTGCTCTCAGGGAAGTTTGATTCTCCAAATGATCTTTTGCTGACCACCAATCGAAAGCATCACATATCCACCAACCTAGCTATTTAGATGTTCGAAATGAACACATTCTCACATCATATATACGTGTTTCGGTTTGAACAATAATCGCTGTTTTCCTCATTTTATCATTTTTTAAGGCCAGTCAACTAAGTTAGAAGTCATTAAAAATAAACTTTGGAGGTCTCAAGGTAAGATGACTGACTTCATGTGGATACATAATAACACTGTTCTTATATTAACCTACACAAGCTTTTGTGTACATATTGTTCCTCGATGTTTTGTCACATTCTGTCGCTTACAATAATCCGTCTCTTGTGCTGTATAATAAATGATTCTCACTTTCGCCTTCATAGGTGTTGAACAGAAATATGCTGATTTGGTTCTCGAAAAAGAAGCCAAGATTTTTCAATATGCATGTAAACAATTATTTCATGTGCATGATATGATGACTTGGTTAACTTGATTTATGCATTTCGTCTTCGCATGAAATATTTGTCATATTTTGTTCCGAGTTTTTTCCCCATCGTCCAATTCGTAGACAACCTTTGAGTTTAAGTAATGTGAATACATGGAGGAGCTTGACACGAGATTTATAATAATAATGTCATGTGAAAAGTGATGAACTCATCAACGCGCGTCTGCATATCTCCTTATTCACTTCACATCCACTCACACTCGCTCCAACTGGAAATTGCACACGTTCATGCTGATGACATTTAATAAAGTTTACACACAATGATAACTGTTTTGATATTGGTAATATTTTGAGGAAAATTACTGCTGCTCGTGTTCACACCACTGTTGGAATTGTTTTATTCACACATTTATGATTTGTGCCCATATATATAGCTCATCAATTTTTTGCTCACTCATGTTTTTCTTGTATTCAGAATTATATTCCAAGTTGTTGGTAGTTGTACTGAGTCACCCTTGTTACATGTATCCAGTTTGACCTTAATGATTACAGATTCTGTTATAAGTCTCTCTTTCCATTTGGTCATGTTAGTTTTCAGAATACACACACTGCTCCAATTGATATTGTGGTCTTTGTCTCATGCATGTGCAGCTATCGATGAATTTTTTTCAAGATTCTTGAAGGCTTGTGTTCCTGTTGGTTGACGTTTGGTATGACGTTTGAGTGATCTGGCCGTCTGTCCCATATATTTAGTCAGACAGTCAGCACAAGACATTTTATGAATCAAATTGTTTTTATCCATCATTTTGATAGGATCTTTCAGCGAATTTATTTTATTTTTGATTAGATTCGTCGGTTTAAACGTTGTTCGAATGCCGATATTCTTGAGGTTTCTTTGAATTGCCTCTGATGTACCATTTTTATATGGTATTGTGACTGTTTTTTTCCACTCCTCCGTCTTGTTCTTCTCCGGTTTACCCTCTTTTTTCTCTTTTTTATATTATGCTTTGTGAATTATTTAGCGTAGTTGTTTTCGAGTAGCATTTTGAATAGGACTTTTATTTCTTCACGCTGGTCCTCCGGTGTTGTTGTAAGTCAACGTATTCTATCTGCAAGACCTTGTATTAATCCTCGTTTTACTGTGAGTGGATGATCAGAGTGATAATCAAGGAATCTTTCAGAGTGTGTGGTTTTCCTCTATATCGTCATTTTTATTCTACCATCTGTCGTTCTTTGTATTTTGCAGTCTAACAAAGGCAGTTACCCAATTTCATTCTCTATTTCCATAGTGAATTTTATTGAGTCAACATACCAATAATAATAGTGAACTATATATTTGAGTACAAATCATACATGTGTGAATAAAACAATTCCAACAGTTGGTGTGTGAACACGGGCAGTAGTAATTTTGCTCGAAATATTACCAATAACAAAACAGTTATCATTGTATGTAAACTATTGAAATATAATTATACTTTATTTGATCTATCCCACAATGCTCCTCACCGATGCACACCTGATATCTATGGTCGACCTGCGAAATTTGGGCTACCGATAACCACGCTGAAAATTCCATACTTGTGCCAAAACTACAGTGTGGAATCAAGCTGTATTCAAAAATAAAAAAAAGTTTTACTCATACTGATGATATTTACTTTATTGTAAAGTGAATACATTACTGTGTATGCATGCTTCAATAATAACTGATTGGCTCACTGCTTTCTACATAGTGAATGCTTAACCTAATACAGCTGTCCCGTTTAATGAAGTCGCTCTCCTCAATTCTCTTGTTTCTACTAGATATGATTAATCATAAAACAGGCAACGACACCACGAAATGTAAGTGAACATTTTTGGGAATTTCGATGACTAACAAACTCTTTCAGATGTCAACTGTTTAAGAAACTTTAACGAACCCTATTTGGGAGCTAGATTATTCGCAGGTGTGTTCCAAGATTTATGTCAATTGTGTATACTACTTTTATCCACATATTTATCACATGAGATTCGGTTATTGTACTTGTATATAACATTTTACTTCTGAGTTAGAGAGAACGAAGTAGCCACCAGAACACTTCAGTGAGATCTGACAAATATGCAACTACACTGTCAGACTTGAAACAGTTATCTTATCTTATGAGATTCCTCACTGATTAAGTGTTAAGAGGAACGCTTTGCATTGAGGTTGTGGCTTGAAGGATACGTGTTCAGGGAATTTCAATTCTGCTTTCTTCAACATGCTATCAACTTGCTTCAATCTACAACCCAGTTTAACGTACATATTATGTGATCATTTCATTTGGATTCACATGTTCAAAACCCTGTAGTCACGCATCAATTAAAAGCGCTGAAGTCTCGATTTCGATCAGTCAGCTAGCAATTCCAATGGAAATCAGAATTCATTCAACCGATAGAGATATTTATTCCTAAGTTGATAGAAAACAACCTCACAGGAAACGAATGTTTGAAGAGAATCAATTTCGCCCTTATTTAATATTATGAGAATTGGGTAATTGCGTGTGGTCAGTGTCATTCCATTTTGATAACCAGTAGAAGATGTTGAGAAATTATCCTTGAGTATGCGAGGGAATAAAGAGGCTGTGATGAGTGCTGTATTAGAAACTATTCTTTTGCATAATCTCTCAACTTTGATTATCATTTTCTGTATTTTCAGGTTTGGCATACACACTCAAAAACGCTGACCTATATGGTGAATTGACTTTATGACAACTGATTTTTATGTGTGGTTCTTGTCACTTTGTCAGCATCCAGTATATAATTTAACCGTTGAGGAGGATACCTGAGATGGACCGCATTCCATGAATCTATTCACATTTTTCAAATATTTATCTAGCACTATTTTTCCAAGATAATAAGCATGAATTGATATGATGTTTAAATACATTTACACACAGGTCCGTTCCAAGAAGAGCATTCCCTTCATAAATGTATTGTCGAACAGCGTGAAACTCACATCGGTAAATAGTTTTATTTTGAATTCTTACTTCACATTTATCCAGTAAATATTCTTAGCTAATCTCACCTGTTAAGTTGGTTTTAATTTCAATTTTGAACCCTCCTGATAGTTTGTAGGTACGAACAGGAAAGTTAGGAATGCTGATTTGTAACTCAAGATAACTGACTTCATACTGATTGGGGTGATTTGGATATGATAGAGAAGATTTGTAGCTCAGGTGGATGATTTTGATGTTGTTTTGTTCTCTGAGCTGGATGGTTAGTTCGCGAAGCTTTCATCACCTTACTGGGTGACATCCTCAGCGCATACTTCAATTTGAAGTGAGCTTTTAGATTTCTCCACGAGTTTATTAATCATCTCTCCTGGTGACCTTGGACGTGATGGGTTGTTTGTGTGTGTTTTCACACCTTCTAGGTTACTTGTATTGGAACCGGTTGTTTCTTTGACTTGAACTTTGACCCTTTGTGTGTGAAGTTTCTTCCTTATTGGTTGATAAATTTTGTCTATCTCGATGTGTCTATTGATTGATGATTCACTGGAATACCAAGCTTCTAAACATTCTCTAGCATTCTTGTTATTTCCTTTGTCTTATATTTGAACGTTGTCCCAGTCGAATTGATGTCCGTAGTTGTCTGTGTGTAGTGAAATGAGGGAGTGGATATCATGTCTTTTGACGGCTAGCTTATGTTCGTGGATACGAAGACGAAGGGGACGTCCACTTTGGCCGATGTAGTGTTTTTCGCAGTTGGTACAGTTTATTTTGTAGATGATGTTGGTTTTGTCTTCTTTCGTTGTTGATTCTTTCGGTTGACATAGAATTGAGTGCAGCGACTTTGTTGGTTTTTGTACGACGTCAATTCCTAAAGGTTTGAAGAGTCTTGTAGTGATTTCTGAGATATCTTTTATATATGGTAAGGCAATTTTCTTTGTGCTTTCCTTGGTGGCTTTTGCTTTGGTAGGTTGGCTTGGGGGTATATGTCTCTTGATGAAATTCCGTGGATATCCATTCTTTTGGAAGACGTCCATGAGATACTTTTCTTCAATTTTTCTTAAGGTGGGAGTGCTGCAGTGAGTCCTTACTCTCTTGAATAGTGTTTGCATGCAATTCCTTTTGTCTGTTATTGGGTTGTTGCTGTTGTAATTCGGTATTTGGTCTGTGTGAGTTGATTTCCTATAAGCTTGAGTTTCTAATTCTCCTGTGGTTGTTCGCTTGACTAAGACGTCCAAAAATGGTATTTTGTTCTCGGATTCCTCTTCTCTTGTGAATTTGATGTCGTTGAAGACGTTGTTTATTAAGTTGTGAGTTTTATCTAATTCGTTTCTTTTGATGATTACAAATGTTTCGTCGACGTAGCGTATCCAAATCTTGGGTTTGATCTTTGGTAGAATTATATTTTCGAGTCTTTGCATCACTGCTTCTGCAATCAAACCTGATATTGGCGATCCCATGGGTGTTCCTTTGACTTGTTCATATATTTGGCCGTTGAATTGGAAGTATGTTGTTAGGCATAGATTTATGCATTCCATCCAGCTTGAGTGTTGCATTTTCGATTGTTGTGGCAGTTGTTCGTCGTTGCTAAGTAATTGCTCCATGGTTTCTTTTGCTAAGTTTTGTCCGATGGTTGTATATAATGCTGTCAAGTCGAATGATACCATTATTTCTTGTTCATCTATTTGGATGCCTCTGATTTTCTCTAGGAATCGGATAGCAGAGTTGATGGAGTGATCGCAACTACGGACATCAATTCGACTGGGACAACGTTCAAATATTAGACAGAGGAAATAACAAGAATGCTAGAGAATTTTTAGAAGCTTGCGTATTCCAGTGAATCATCAATCAATAGACACATCGAGATAGACAAAATTTATCAACCAATAAGGAAGAAACTTCACACACAAAGGGTCAAAGTTCAAGTCAAAGAAACAACCGGTTCCAATACAAGTAACCTAGAAGGTGTGAAAACACACACAAACAACCCATCACGTCCAAGGTCACCAGGAGAGATGATTAATAAACTCGTGGAGAAATCTAAAAGCTCACTTCAAATTGAAGTATGCGCTGAGGATGTCACCCAGTAAGGTGATGAAAGCTTCGCGAACTAACCATCCAGCTCAGAGAACAAAACAACATCAAAAAGATTGGTGTGATGGTTTACTTTCTGATATGTCTGTAGTTGCATGCCTTTTTATTGGTAATGATACTTTCAGTGAATGTTTCCCTTCTCGTTGTTTCAATGACTTGTTCTTTTCCCTCAATTTCTTCATCAGCTAGGATGGATGTAGCAAGAGGAGATAACTGTGATCAGTTTAAACCACCAGGAAGCATAGAAGGTAATCCGTTTTGGACAACTCACATATGTATTATATTCTGTAAGATCACTGACTTGGAAGATGCTGGAAATGAGTTTCCGAAATTCATCGGGTTAATTTTCGAAGGTCAAATCTATTCTCATATCACACTCATTCACATAATACATCTTGCTTTCAATCTGTTAGTGTTGTCAGTGAATGGGACGTTACAATATCAATATTAAGTGCACAACCAGAAGGCTCTTCTTTTACATTTGCTATCACACATCACATCTGTAGGGTGAAATGACGTGGATTCTGAAGTCTGTGACATTGTCTGATGTAGTTGAGACTGCAGTTCATGTAATTTAAACACTCCTGTAAATTGTCATATAAGATAGAGTTGTCAGCCCACCGATGACGAGGAAGTCGAAATTATTTGATTTCAACACATGATAAGAAATAATGAGCACATGTAAGCGTTTCTCGAAGGTGTTTTGACTGTCTTCAAAGAGGTTGTATGATCAGCATTCGATTGAATGATCACATAGACTGGCTAGTCATCTGCTTAAACACACTGAACCAAGCCACAAGATATTTCACAGTATTCTGCATGATCACCTTTCACTATTTGATTCTGTGACATTGATTTTAAAAATAAAGGCATGATCATCCAAATTTCAGATATTCAGAAATTGAAGGATGCAGTAGAAGCTTCATATGTTGAAAGAAGGGTGTATGGCCTATACATCTGTAAGTGTAATCTGTTTTGTCCATGGGTTTTACACACTCTATTTATGTATTAATATCTAATCACAGAAACAAAGCACAAAAGATTCCGCTCATAAGCCTTTAGGATTACGTGAACATTGTTCGCTTGACAATGGTTATGTATTTATAACTGAAATCAGTAATACATTTGTCTTGAAATATCGAGGTTTCCAGACAACTGTGCATTAATTAGTAGCCGGTGCACAACATTTGCTTGTATATAGGTGTATTCAGTGAAGAATGTCCACTGATCACAGAAACTAGCATAGGCTGAGAAGTACATTAAGGGATCAATGCTCAGACGGCAATCATCAGTATGCAAAGGCGAAAGTTAAGGTACACAGTGGCTGAAGCACATGCTTACTCAGAGTGGAAATGTTAGGAAGGAACCAGATCAGTATTCGTGTTTGCGCAAAATGTAGTAAAATTATGTGACAGAGATAAAAGGAATTTAGTAGCGGAGAAAATTCCCGATGTGTTCACGTGTGTGCTATTACGCGTCAGGTAGATAAATCAATACATTTGTGAAAATCAAAAGCAACAATGACAACGATGGTTTATCGTTATCGCAACGAAGGTTTTGGAATAACCGCTGCCTCCCAGTTTATTACCAGTGACTTACTTACACATGAGTGTTTCACAATAGAGGCAGTGTTGACAGATTGAGCAAGAAATGTCCTGCATCAAACATCTTCTAGACAAAGGAAATTATCCAATGCATTTATTACTCCAGGCTTTGTCAGATCCTGTCAAATGTAGGACAAGGAGTCTACGCATGAATAAAGCTGATGAATAAAGCTTGCTTTTTTGACTAATATGTCACTTTTACATTGCTCTTTTTTTCAAGTGCTCAGAAAAATTCAAAGACTGCCATCGAGAGGTTGGAAAGTAAGATTAACCTACTATCTAATACGAACTCCGCACATTTGATTCTTGAAAATCGACTGATGAGAGAAACTGACATACTGCCTACATAGATAAATATGTTTAACTGAAATTTGTATGTTGAACAACAGAGACAGGGTTTGTGTGATCATCGCTGGATCACCAATTTACTCATGTCATATCATATCATCTGAAATCACATTTAGTATTTTGAAGGCAATCATGCAGTGTATCACAGACTTCACATTCAACAAAACCCAATCGACTACTTCTTCTCGAGTGAAGACCAGTTGTGGTCAAGTAGATTTGAACCACGTCAGAAATTCCCAATACACCATCATTCACACCCACAGCCACAGAGACACACGCACATTAGCGCGAATAAATGCGTTTAAGATATCTGAAATATGCGATTGGATGAAGTTGACTGCACTCACTGACTATCTGTCATTCTGGGTGAGGAATGACGTGTCTTCTTCAAGTCAAATTATTCACACCGATAGTGAATACTGGTCGATTCATTCGTGTTTCTCCCTTTACTCATAACATTCAGCGTTTCTTGCTCTTTCATGAAGTCAATAATGCTCACCATCTTTCATTTTTTCAACAGGAGCGGGAAGAGAAAACTAGAAGAGAATATGAATTTCTTCCTCACGCTAGACCGTGAAACGTGTCTTCTGGACATTATTGAAATGTACTGCTGTGCAGTGGATTTCATGAACACTTTTAATTAAATAATTCACTTTCTTTATAATGTTAACTGTCTGTCTTCTAAATACATTTTATTCACGCAAATATTTAACTTATTCCTACTGGTCAGATGGATTCGGTGTTCTCATTCTGAGTCATTAGCACACCAATCGAAGCTAACTTATTTACATTAAACCTGGATTTTATATAATTCAACTTTTCAATTCATCAGTTGGTGGGATTTTTAATTGACAACAGTATCATCGAGATCAGCCAAATTCACCTTATGTCATGAGGAGCGTCAGCGCTGCTCATTGGCCTCCTGGAAGGTTATATTTAATATGGAAGAATTGAAATTCCATGCAT